AGGAAGAAAGGTTTATTTTGGCAGAGGTTTCAGTGCATGGTCACTTGGCCTTGTCATTTTGGGCCAGTGGTGACACAGTACCTCATGGCAGACTGTGTGGTGGAGAAAATTGTTCACCTTATAGCAGCAGGAAACAAACACAGCAGGGGCCAGGGTCCCATCCTCACCCATGGCTTAACTCTTTTTCACTTGGCTCAACCTCTTAAAGATACCACCATGTCCCAGTAGGACAAGTGGGTGACCAAGCCTTTAACATGGGAAGATATTTTAAAATCTAAGCCCTTGACACTAACATTGAAACACTGATTCCAATAGGTCTCTGTATAGGGCCTTTGTCCTGCCATTTGATCAGAGTGTACTGTACCCCGTGCACTGCTTTGTGCTGACTTGTGTCCCCTAAGGTTGGAGACACGAACTAAGGAGGACACCAGTGGGCAATGCTGGAATTGTAAGGAGGTCGGCAAGTTAAGCAGTTTAAAGGCTTTTTTGCAGATGTATTTTTGGGCCAAATGCCAGACCAGTCACAGCTTTGCATGCCCATATACAAATTGGAACTCAAAAGCACTTTTATCTATGTTGAACTTGTGATCATCACGAATTCACAGCAGGAGGATCTGAAACCAATTTAGGTTTCCAGTGTGGGTAGCTACTCCCAGTATGGGCCCCCAGAATTGAGTAGGGAGAAGAGGATTTCTCTCAGGCTCTGGTGTGTTCCCGGCAATGCACCTCTCGCTGTTGCTGGCTTGGTTATTCCCCTCAGCACCTCTTGCTTTCTCAGAAAACGGCTGAGCACAGTCCAGCAATATAGAGTGGCGGTGATTATTTGAGAAGGCACATACTTCATTTAGACCAGATTGCTATTATCACCCTAGATAATTTCTTTGACTCCTGAAATAGACTGGGTCCACTGGGCAGGTTGTCTGCTTATGACAGAGCAGTGGGGGGCAGGAGGGGTTGGCTCTGACCTTTGCATTTTAGATTGAGGGTGCAGTCTTGAAGAAGACCTTTATTATTTAAATGTCAAGAGGAACTCATTGGAGTGGTACAAAGCTATTATTATTATTATCATTCTTATATTATTAGTACATTGGAGTGGTACAAAGCTATTATTATTATTATCATTCTTATATTATTAGTACATTGGAGTGGTACAAAGCTATTATTATTATTATCATTCTTATATTATTAGTACATATTATTAGTACATGTTTGCAGTACATAATGATTACATTCCTCATGCGGAGCTGGTACATGTATGTAACACATTTTAATTCTTTCTTTCAAACCCTCTTCCATCTCTTGGTCCCCTTCTCATTTGTAAAAGGTTCATCTCCCTATTTCCTATTATCTGCCTTTTATTGTGTCCTTATTTATATTTTGGGTTTCTCATATAAGAGAAACCATGTGATATTTAAGCTTATGTTTCTGATTTATTTCACTGAATGTTATGGTCTCAAGCTGCATCCACTGCCCTACAGATGACTCCACTTTATCCTGCTTTATGGTGGAGTAGTCCTTCGCTGTTATAAATACCACAGTTTCTCTATCCATTCATCTGCTGATGAGCATATGGGCTACTTCTAAGATTTAGCCATTATGAGTTCTGCTGTAAACGTGGGTATACTTGTATCATTGTGTTCATGATGTCTTTTAGTTTTTTGGGAAGATACTAGAAGGGACTAGGTGGATCAAATAGAATTTCTATCTTTAGTTTTTGAGGATTCTCTATATTGATTTCCATAGGGGTTGTACTAGTTTACATTCCTATCAGTAATATAGAAAGATTGCTTCTCCCCCATAGGTTCACCAGCATTTTGCTTGTTATTATCTGATTTCTTGACAATAGCCATTCTTTCTGGAGTAAGATGGAACCTCAGTGTTGTTTTAATTTGCATTTCTGTAATGGCCAGAGCTTTTTGTGTGGATTCCATTTGGAAGGTTGCTTTAGTGGGTTATATGTTCAAGTCTCAGGATACTTAGCTATTGAGTACGAACAATAGCGCCACGCTCCCAGAGGTGTGTGAACACAGGGTCTTACCATAAAAGAATGAAGGGAAATTTCCTTTCTGACCTCTGCAGGTTCATGGGAATAGGCTGACAAAGTCCAATTAAATAAGTGAAAAAGCATGCAAATTAGTTAACCTGCAGAAGGGGAAAAATGACAACCAAGGAAAAACCACAGGAGTGTGATTAACCACTAACCCAAAATGACTGAGAAATGTATACACCTCCTAGCTGTAGGGGAGGAAGGAAGGGGAGGATTGGGGAATGTGGACAATTTTGAGGGATTGAAAATGATTTTTAGAAGAACATGGTCAGTTTGGAGAACATACAGCAGTCTGAGACAACATTTTTCTGGCCTCCAGAACAGGCAGTGGTTTGTAAATGATTCTCTTTGGAATACTGAGTAGAACCAAAGCAGAAGACAGGTGAGAAAGGTTTGTGCAGGTGTGTTGACAGAGTTCAGTCTCTCTTCCTGCAGTATGAACTTAGTGAATGAAAACTTGGGGAAGGAACTAGAGGTCATTGCTTCCTTCCTTCCAGAGTTTAAGCAGTCAAGAAACATGCAGAGGTGTGTTGGTTTGAGGGATATTTTGCAAGGGGAAACAATACAATACAGGACACATATTTTATAAGATTATTTATAATAGTCACCCAAAGAATCATATACAAGAGAGTGCAGGAAATCTGTCCACACACTAAGACCAAGAAATCTAGCTGAGGGCCTGGATCCCACAGAAATGTCCTGCATGAGTCCAGCTGAAGATCTAGAGCTCCTAACAATGCCTCTTACGAGTCCAACTGGAGGCCTAGAGCCTAAAACAGTATCTCATGCAGGCCTGTTTCTCAATCTGCACTGGGAAAGCCCAAAGGTCAGTGGTGGAATCTAGGAAGTCTGTGCCAGCAGGATGAAGGATCTGTGCTAGCAGGCTGAGGGATCTGCACTGGAGCCAGGAAACGGTGCGCAAGTAAGAACCACAGCTCCCCTGAAAAGTACCACAGCCATCTTCAGCAACAGTGAGGTCCCGAGCTCCTCTGATGATCAGTATGGCTGAGTTCCCATCAGGAAAAAAAAAAAAACACAGCAATCTTCTTCAGGAGACTGGGCAGTGCACCATCTTCCCCTCTGGAGCCAGGAAGTGATGCTCAGAGCGAGGACCACAGCTGTCCAAAGTGAATCAAAGCTATTCTCAGTGCCAACAAAGTCCCAAGCTCCTTGGAGGATGAAAACAGCCAGGTTCATCAGAAAGCCACCATGACAAGCTCCTCCAAAAGAACCAACAGCTCCTTACAGCTTCTACAAGCTCCCAACAGCCTTTTCTCAGTTCCCAACAACCTAACTTCTTCTCCAGCTCTGCCTCTTATGCTGCTGGCAACAATCCTCAGGTGGGCTCCCCACACCCAGCACCACGCTTACTCAGTTCAGCTGGGGGTTGTAAGTTGACCACCCATTGTCGATCCACTACGAGAGGGAAGCCTCTTCTAGCATCTACCACTCTCCAAGCCCTAAAGTGGTGAGCACACCAGGGTGCTATCTTTTGGGGTGACAGTCCCTGGGCCCCTTCAGTGTCCCAGTTTGTCCTTTCTCCTGGATGTCTGTCTCTCTCCATCTGGCCACTCTGAAATGTCATGGGGTTGTACCTCACATCACTGTGGCAATCTGTTTCCCAAATTAATTCCTTACGGCCAACTTCAGTCTGCAGAATGAAGCCCGCCTCACTGATCAGAGAGGAAGCATTAAAAAAAAACTTCAGTGATTTAGTTATTCATTTAACCAATATTTTTTGAATATCTCTTATATGCCAGGCACTGTACAGGGTCCTGAAGATACAAAGATGAGTAACTTACAGCCCTCGGGGAGGTCACATTCAGTTGCCGAAGACAGATGTATACACTTGTGGCCGCTAGTGTAAATGAAACAGATGGCAGAGAAATTATGAGGGGGACAGAGGAAAAAAACTACCTCCTTCTGCTTGGGATGTTTATTGTGGGTGTAGAATTAGAATGGAAGAGGAATGTGAGATAGGCTTGAATAAAGACAAGGAATTGAGAACCGTCATAGTGTGTTTGCAGATCTTTATGCAGGCTGATGTTGTTCAAGTGGGGTGGGCTGGATAAAAGGCCACATATGCCATGTGAAAGAACTTCAGCTTATTCCTTAGACCAGCAGTTCTCCAGAGACGGAGACAAGAGGGATAGGCATTCACATTTGGAACCACTGCACAGTTAGGCACCCCTGCCTAGGAAGACCTCCTTTGTACAGGTGGGCTGGAGAGCTTGAGACCTGAAGCTTTCTTTAGGGGGGTCTGTAACTGTGTGGGGAGAGTAAGGAAATAGAAATGGGTAGGTTTAGAACTTAGGCTTGGCTGATTAGAGGAAAGATGAGGGAAGAAGAAGGAGCCACCTATAAGGAGTGTTCTGCATTTTCTATGTGGAGCTCTGCTCATGTTCTGCCTCTTGAGGGAGAATTTTTCTGATCTCTGGCTCAACCTTTGTTATGTGGTCCTTGGCTGCATTCATATCAGCCTTCTCCATGTTGTTCTTAAGTTTGTTCTGCTTTCCTTAATAAAGGGAAGTTCTTAAAATGCAGGGACTGGATTGTATACCTTTTTTGAGAATGCAATTTTTGACAGTCAGTTTTTTTATGCATAGTATTATTGGGCCTTTAAGTAATTTCTTCTGCTTTTCTCTGATTTTCTTCCAAGAGAGGAACAATTAAGCACAAATGTCCAATGGAAAGTGCCCTCCATCCGGAGGAATATATTTATTATTTGTGAGTCTAAATGAGCATTTAGAAAATCAAGTATACAGGAGAATCATCCTGAAGAAATGTAAGAGGTTTGAATTTCAGAATAGGCTAGATGTTTTGGTTGTTTTGCTTTGGAAACAATTTACTTGCAAAGGCTTCTCTGGTGGGTTGGCTGTGGCTTGATTATCCACAGTATCTGCTTTGAGGTAGAATTGCACTGAATGCTTTGTGTCTGTGATTCCACATGCAGGTCCAGAGTCCAGTGCCCAGTGTGAACTGTCACCTGTCAATGCCTCCCACCCCGTCCAGGCCTTGATGGAGAGCTTCACCGTCCTGTCGGGCTGTGCCAGCAGAGGTACCACCGGGCTGCCACAGGAGGTACACGTCCTGAACCTCCGCACTGATGAGAAAGGGTCTGACCAGCCGCGGAGAGAGGTAGGTATGGGTGTCAGCCTTCAGTCCTTACCCCCAAATCTGCAAAGATGCTTTTCTTTTCTTTTTTTTAATTTTAAAAATAAAAGGAGGAAAATTAACATTAACAGACAGACAACCTTTTACAAAATAGCAAAAGAACAGTACAGACAATACAGAGTTACAAACAAAGTGGTAGGAAATTAACCATGCTTGTTGTATTACATATTGATATCTTCAAACTGGTTTCTCATGAAAACAGATAGAGACATGCAATGTTGATCAATGAAGGACCCACTGACAGTTTCTTTCAGCAAAGAAATAGAAGACAGTAGAACAACTATTTTAACTCTCCTGTATATACATACATACAAAATTTCTCCTTCTTTCCCTTCTCTTTTCTCACAACCCAGTTGCCTTTACCCTTGAGCATTTTCCTATCATTCCACAATGTCTACCATACCTTCTAGTTTAAATTAACTCTTTCAGGTTTTACACTAGTGAAACAATGTGGTGCTTGCACATGTATGTTTGATTTATTTCACTTATGAGTTGGTCTCTAGTTGTGACCATTTACCTATAAAAGCCTCGAGTTTATCTTTCTTTATAGCTGAGTAATATTCCATTATATAAAAGTACCACAATTTACTTATCCAATCCTCGGTGGATGGACATTTGGGTTGCTTCCACAATTTAGCAATTACAAATTGTGCTGTTATGAACATAGGTGCACATATGTCGCTGTGATATGATGTTTTTAGATCTTCTGGGAAAATACCCAGCAGGGGGATAGCTGGGTTGAATGGGACCTCTAGACCTAGTTTTCTGAGGAATCTCTAAACTGATTTCCACAGTGGTTTCACCAGTTTGCATTCCCACCAGCAGTGGAGAAGGGTTCCTATTTCTCCACAGCCTCGCCAGCATTTGTTATTGGTTGATTTCTTAATGCTAGCCATTCTTACTGGGGTAAGGTGGAATCTTAGTGTTGTTTTAATTTGCATTTCTCGAATGACTAATGATGTTGAACATTTTCTCATGTATTTATTTGCCATTTGTATCTCCTTATCTGAGAAGTGTGTATTTATCTCAGCGGCCCATTTTTGGATTGGGTCTTTGAATTTGGGGGGGAGCTGATACTTTTTAATTGCAAAGATGCTTTTCTGAGGAAAGCATTCTTTTCTTCTCTTTTGGATTCAGCAGGGATTCTCATGTATGAATACATGATGGAGCAAGAGTTAAAATAGTGGATTGTTCTCTGCCCTGGGCAACTTTAAGACTTCTCTCTCCAGGAATTGCTTACCTCGCCCTCTTCCTGGCCTTCTGTGTGGGAAGAATTTCAGCTTCTAAACATGATTGTGAGAAGACAAGGGGCCATTTCTCTGAAACTGTAGGTGTCTTCTGAACTTTACCTGTGACCTCTCTATCTTCTTTCCCTGCTTTGTCTTACTAGCCTGTTGCTCCTGCAGCATGCCAAGGGGAAATGGGATCACTCTGAAATAAGGATGGCAATATTTGTGTCTCCAGGAGAATCCCCTGTAGTAGCTCCTTGGTGCTGTCCAGGCAGATTCTTTAAGACAGTGGTGGTCTCAGGAGTCATGTTGAGAATGATGGTATAAGCTCATAGCTACCAAGTATTTGCTGACATTGGGAGACGCCTACACTGCCCCATGGGGTCCTGTCAGTTTACAGGTGATTAAACAGGTGCAGAGAAAACTTACTTGGTCAAGGTCATGACTCTAGAAAGAAATGAACTCCTCTTTCCTGTAACTCTAAAATGGCGTGGATGATGGGCGCACGGTCATCATGCTTCTTTGAGGAGGTAGGTTTTCCTACAAAGTAACACACAGTTGTCATTCTGTTTGGTTTTTTGGCTTCAGTGTATCACAAAGTTAATCACTCAGACATTATTTTTCTAGGGAGAAAGAAAGCACAGTAAATCCTGGTCACAGCAAAGTATGGAAAACTAATGCAGAATGAAATTTATCTTTTAGTTTTGTCCTGGTCAAGAAAATAAATTTCCAGAACCATTTGTTTATGTGCCCCATCACCCTGTCTTTTGGGGAGAGTAGGGAAAGGAGAGGCATGAGGCATCCAGAAGGAAAAGCAAATGGGGTTTAATCTCATGAAAGTGTGCAGAATTGGCTCATTTCAAAGACAGATCATCTAACCTTTCTAGCTGCACTGGAAATTATTGTTAATACTCTTGGTTGCTTGCCATTGTTGCTGCAACACATATTTCAGGTCAGATTTCTTTATCCCCATAATGCATCTTTAATTCTTAACTTATGGGGGAGAGTTTGTGTTGGGAGGGGAGGCAGGAGAGGAGGAAATGCAGTTCCTATGAGGCATTGCTGACTCCGGCAGTTCTTCAGCAGCAGTAATTACTCATTTTATATATGCTTCTCTCAGAGGAGCCGAGAAGGAAAGGAAAGTCCAGGCTGATACAGAAGCAGCATCAGCCCCAAATTCTTGATGTTAAATTGTGCGGCACTGTTGTTGACTCTGAAAATAAATTCAATAAGACCACTGGAAGAAAAGAGAAATACCTTAAGCAAGGATAGCAGAACTCTCTCACATGGGAACCTCGTTTAAGAGAGGGCGCTGCTGTAGATACATAAAATGAGCTGGCATGTAGGGATGTAATGTGTTCAGGGAGAAGAGGAGGAAAGAAGGCCTATGGAGGATGTCACCTCTTGTTTGAAAACCTGAACATTGTTCTCCTTCAGTATCTGCGTAGTGTAGGTACACTTGGGACCGGTGATTTGAAGGCATTTCTGAGAATAGGTGACTAAGGGAAATTGCACTATTTCTTTTTTGGGGACCTTTGAGGATTAGATGGCTGTAGCTCAATGCTATTTGAAAAGATGATTAGGATAATTGATCTTCGGAAATTCCACCTGGCTCCGATGTGTTCTCATGCTGTAGAACTCAGAGTACTTTGCATGTGCAGAGTAAATGTGGAGGGTGAGATCAGACAAGGGGAGAATAAGAGAGAATTTGGTGGTGGATGGCAAGATGGGGCTAGAAGAGTGTTCCATGCTCCTGCCTCTCTCCGTCCACTGAGTGTGGAGAGACAGCACTGCAGTTGTACAGATAACTTTGAAAAATCACTTGAGCCATATAACCCAGGGGTTCTGCTCCTAGAGATGCACCCAAGAGAAAAATCCAACCTAGATCCCACGCCGTAACCTGCCTGTGAATGTTCTTAACAGCATTATTCATTATACTCAGAAAGTGGACACAATTTGTTATCCTCTGGTAAATGGATAAAGAAAATGTAGTATATCCATACAGTAGACTGTTACTTGGCAATAAAAAGGAGTAGAGTACTGATATGTGCTCTAATACGAATGGAGCTTAAACATACTATGCCGTGTAAAAGATGGACATAGCAAACTGTATTATGTAATTCCGTTACATGGAGTATCCAGAATACACAGATTTATAGACACAGAAAGTAGGGAGTGCTTGCTTAGGACTAAATGAGGGAAAGGGGGAAGTAGGGATTGACTGCTAATGGTTATAGTTATTTGGGGGTTATTTGGAGGTAGAAGTGTTCCAAAATTAAATTATGGTAATGATTGTACAATCTTGTGAATATACTAAAAAGTTTTGAATAATAAAAGGGTGAATTTGATGGGATATAAATTATATCTTAATAAAGATAATAAAAAATCATTAGACTTGCCAACATTATAATTAGCCCATAACGTTTACCTTGACTCAGTTCACTTTTTAAAGAAATACTAAAATTGCTTCCTCTGACAGCCTAAACTCACCCAACTCTTTGTTGTTCTTAATGGATGACTTGATTTTTATAGATAGGACATTCTATGAGCTCTGTCAGAAATAACAGCTGACCTGTTTGGGGGGTATTAGTGGGAGGGCCTGGGGCAACCTGTACAGTCACTATCGGATAATTAAGGCAGATATTTTTCAAAATGAAATAAGTACCATTGCTTACAAGTTAGCAGAAGAATTATGACACTAGCTCCCGGCCATGCTTGACTTTGACTCTAATGACTCTAATGACTCTAATGACCTTGATTCTACAGTAGTTGCTATCCACAGTGTCATCCTGAATGTGAAGGAATTACTACATCAGCCCCATTTCCCCTTGGCTTGTCAGTGGCGCAGGATCAGCATCCAGATTTGCAATAAATCCCCCTTTCTCGCATTTTACTAAACTCAGACCTTCCAGGTGCCTTAAGGTCCTGCGGCTGAGGAGAGGCTTCTTGTTTGCCTGAATAGAGGACGTGACATAGCCTACCGGGAGGGAGTAGTTGCAGCAGGTTGGTAAGATTTGGGCAAACAGTTTTGCTTAAGTTGGACAAATAATTGCACTGGCTGGCAGAGGGCTCGTAGCAGAAACATGCCTGTTACAGCCATGACTGGAAGCCCTCGATACCAAAGCACCACTCTCCCACTGGCCTGCCTGCTGGGTTCTCATCAGGACAATGAGACCTAGAGTTGTTCTTTTCATGTGAGGCCACACCTCTCGTTTGTAATCACTGGTTTTGGAAACAACAGCCCTGGAAGTGAACAGGAAATTGGAAAAAGACTCTCTGGCAGAGGCGGGCAGAAGGGGGTAAACAGCCCTGATAGATTGGATTTGTCTTTTAGAATAAATTAAACTCTGTACAAAGGAGCTCCCAGTGCCCTTTGGCTGTAGTAAAATATGCCCCTTCCCTTTCTGTGAGCCTCCAGAGTTCGGTCCCTCCCCTCGTTCCTGATTCCTGATTCCTGAGAAGGGTTAGAGTACCATCAGAGGCTGTTTACAGAAACATGCTTTCATTAGTTGCTGGAATGGCAACAATTTTGTTCCTATCTTCCAATTTTTACTCTGTGATCTGCTTTTATGTGGTGGTCTGTGTCTTTTCTATTTCCGTTCTGTCTAATTGCTTGCTTATATTTTGAAAAGCTGCTAGTCGCCCATAGTTAGCCATTACGCATGTGTATGAAAGACGTGGGCATTTACATGTATGTATTTGTTCTGCCATTGAGGGAGGGACTGACCGTTCATG